CTCATCTCTGCAACACTTAACTTAGTATTATGCTTCTCTTTTAATAGCCAACATTCGGCACCATAAAGCATTGCAGTTCTCACCACCATCTTATAGAATTTTCCCTTAAGTTTGAGGGGGACTTTTCTATCGCACAATAAGCCTAAAGTATTCCTCCACTTCAACCATACAACTTGAATTTTGCTGATAATATCCCCATCTATTTCACCATCACTTTGAACAATAGATCCAAGATATCTAAAGCGTGTACTCTTATTAATGACTTGATCGCCCAAAGTCACAATCCTCTCACTAGATGCTACTAAAATTACACTCAATATATTCAGTTTTAGATCTACTCAAGTGAAAACCTTTAGACTCTAAGGTTGACCTCCATAATTCAAGTTTACCTTCAACTCCCTCTCTAGTCTTATCGACAAGAAGAATATCATCAGCAAAAAGCATACACCAAGGTACATCCTCTTGCAAATGTCTAGTTTTAAAATCTAATGATGAATAAGAGATAAAAATAATAAGGAAATAATTTATGCATGAGGAATGCAACAATTGACCAACTAATTCATTTGTAGCATTACGTGCAGTTTCTTGATTATCTAGGATAATATTTACCAATGTACGAAGAAGGCACTATCAAACTTTCTATGCATGTATGAGGTTAGGAACATGCATACGTAAAACCATAATGTTCTTCCATTTTCATGACGAACAATGGAAAATGAAGTTGATACGACATTTAAGGTTCACTTCTAGTAAAGTGCTTTTCATACAAAAATTTGAAAACGGAAATTTCCCTGAATGATCAATTCAGTATTATTTTGGCAGAAATTCAAAGATTCAAGAACACTTTATTGTAACAATCTGATACCTTTTCAATATTATTGAGTACAAGTTCAACCAATGTTGCACCAGATACTTCTAGGAAGGCAGCTAAAGCTTCATCACTGAAACATAACGGTACAAATAAGAATTCAACATGAAATCATCATATAAAAGGCAGATATATATAAAAAAAAAGTTTAATAAGTCGTACAATATAGTCCATACCAATAAATTTAGCTAAAAAAGACATAAAGTTAAACTGAGTAAAAAGATGAATGAATAGATATCAAAGACATTTCAGGCAGGTTTAATAGTAATCCATGTAAGTTTTCTGTATAACATAATGTCATTGCACATCAGCTGTAGATTCTCACGGAAAATCTTCTCCGGTGAAACAAAATTGAACTATTCTTCAACTCGCAACTTTAGCCATCATGTGCCCCAAGATACCAATGATTCTACTCAACTATTCCTTGCACATCATAGCTAGGATAAAAGCAAGGCCTTTAATAACAAAATGATTTGACACTGCTGGATGATTTGGCAGAATAGATCGACAAGGAGCAGTTTGGTTGGCTGAAGAAGGAATACAGTAGAAAAGAAATGCTTTAAATTATTTTGATGAGTGTAAAAGTCACGAGCATATCTTAGAAAAAATATATTGAGGTAAATGTTTTGATGTGCTTATGTTAATATTTAATAAGCACTGTAGGTTGCATCCACAAAACTGGCCCTCTGCACAGATTTAATCTAATCAATGACCAACTTGGTCATACTTGAACCTAATAGTGAGTTAAACACAGTTAAGTAAAGGCTTGCATGTCTTGGAAATCACAATCAACTTGGACACTTCACTACTAATTTAATTGCGACCCAATTCAACCCTCAATGATGGACCAAGATGAGATGATGATCCAACAATAACTAAGCTAAACTGAAAAGCCACCAAGCTCAACAACCTTAAGGATAAATCAAGATAGGAAGCACTTTGTGTTTGAATCTCAACAATAACTAACATTCCAAGGAGTTTTTGTTATAAATATTAATTGTTAGTCGAATCCACAGAACTCAAAGCTTGTAATCAACTTGACCACATCACTAAAATGATAATTAGGCTTGATCCTCTAAAAGATAGACCACACCACAGTGATTTTAAGTTAAAACAGAATATACCCTTCTTTGGCAGGAATATCCATATTGAGAACTATTTAGATTGGGAACAAACGGTCGAGGCTTTGTTTTCGATTAAATGGATGTTTCGCCTGAGAAGCAAGTCAAGAATGTCACCTATAAACAAGAGGGGAGCATGGTTGTTCCAATTGATGCAAACCCACAGTCCAGAAGGTAAGGGTAGCATCAAAAGTTGGCTTCAAACAAAACAATTGTTGCGCAACCGAACTTTAAACAACTGCTATACTCTGATATCAATCAAGTGATGAGATCAATTAGTAGCTATATGGAGTTCTACCGACTTAAAGCTTGCAACAATTTAAATGAATCCTAACAACAGCTCGTAACTCATTGCATGAGAGGCTTGAAAGAGTCAATTCAGGATAGTTTGGAGATGGAACTCCATTTGATCACTCTCACTAGTGATAAACTTGGTCTGTAAGGTCGAACATGCCTATGATGTCACCTTTTTGACACCATTTCAATGATCCAAACATCGAGACCTCTAAAGGAATTCTTCCAACTCCCAAGATGAGCTCCCTTCAATCCCAAACTCAACTACCTCCATAAAAATCCGCTCCTCACGCCTCCGAATTCAAAGCTCCGATGAAACAAGGAAACCAAAGAAGCAATACTTACAACAAGCCAATCTTTCTGAGTGCTTTTGTTGATTCCAACTAGGACATAGATCCAATGAATGCCCAAAATGGAGATAACTGCAAAATTTGGAAGGGGAGTAAGATGAAGAATAACTTTGAGTTCCCCTCAAACATACACGTAAAGTTTTTTAGTTGTTTCTGGCATGAACAATGAAAATATCTCCAGATAGAGCTTTGCCTAAGCTCTGCATACCACCCACAAACAAAATGGGCAAACAGAGGAAAGCACTTACAGTAACATGTTGCATTACCTAGCCCTGTGAACAACCTAAGCAATTGGCTAATAAATTGGCTCAAGCTGAATTTACTTACAACTCTATAATAAGTTCATCTACAAGTAGAAGTCCGTTTTGGGTGGTGTATAAAAAAAATGCCTAACCACCTATCAATATAGAGGTCATTCCAAAACCCCATAGCAAGCCGGTTGCAAAACTGGCTCAAAATTTTGATGACATGCTGTAAGAAGTCGACTAGTTGCTATCTAACTAGTTGCAAAATTACAAGAAACTAGTGGATACACATAGTCATCTCAGGAGTTTTGAAGTAGGTAGCTTGTTCATGATTCACCCATGCAAAGAGCATTTCAGAGCAAGAATTTATTCCAAGTTAAGGCCCAACAAAATTGGGCCATTCTAGATTACGAAAAGCATTAATGATAATGCATATGTTGTTTCTCTATCTGCCAAGTTGAACAATTCACCAATTTTTAATATTGCGGATATCTACTAATACTAATGATGGCAAATTGAAAATAATTAAACACAGGATGAGTTCTTCTGGGGAAGGAAAGATGCGATGCAAGCTTTTAAAAAAAGTTATAATTATGTTGTCCATATTTTTGCTTTTAATATTAATTTTCATCTTAATAATATATTTAGAAAATACAATTGTTAATCAAGTTTACTTTTAGTTAATTATTCTATACTTCGTAGTGGATAGAAATAATGACTAGTGGTATGTTTTATGTTCCCTACTATATCTACTACCTTAGCTCAAAGAACATCAGATGATGTAATACTAATGAATGTTAGGCTCAAGTATTATATCCACCATCAGGTGATGATAAATAGATCAACAGTCCATACCAGTTGTGCATAACAATATGTATTTAAATGCAGAAGCTAAAAGGGCTCTGACCAACAAACAATTTCAATAAGAGTTTTTTCTTTTACTCTGAAAACGTGACATCAGACTGCCATTACAAAGCTTTGAACTCCATAAGTTGCACACAATCTAAAACCAGACTCCAGGTTGCACGACTCAATTTAGATCTTCTAAGATGTTAAATTATTTTCAAGTCAATCTTTTCCTCCAACCCAGTAACACTATTCCCTTCATGAATCTCATCTACAATTCACCAGTGGATCCTTCTCCATATCAGTTTGAAGATCAATCACATCTCAAACATTCATTTGTTCTCTCTTCAAATGAAAGGTCTAGAAGGTCTTTCTTTTTAGTTAACAAAGGAGTACAGTTTTTAAGGTCTAGAGAAGCAAATGATTTTTTGTTATAAATGGAACTGTTCTTAGTCAGATCCACCCTTCTCAGTGGTCATTAGTGGCTGCTAATAAAAGAACCAAGTTATGCAATGGTGCTGACGGAACATGAAGCAATTTTCCTTGCCTTACTCTCCTAACTTTACAAAATAAAGATATTTATTTCATAATTTATTTAAAATTAAAAGCTGAATACAAATCAATAACTGGTTTTTAGAGGGAGACCTGAATGCACCATGACAAAGCTTGAGCCTTTGAAATGGACAACCACCATTGACAAGATGTTGTATTGCAGAATCATTTAGTCGGTCCAAGTAACGGACATCAAGAAAAGAAAGACGAGGGCAACTTCCACCAATAACTTTCATTGAGGCATTAGTCAATTTACTGCATAAAAAAGGAATATTTCAGTTCAAAGTGAATATATTTTGACAGTCTACAAGAAATTGCATAATAATCAGAAAGAGAAATGAGGCTTATAGAGGTAAGTGAAACGTAGAGCAATAGTCCTCTCAAGCTTCGTTTGAGATGACTTTCTTTCTGCTTCTTAAAGCAGCTTTTTAGTATAAAAATTTTAATTTTTGTACTAAAAAGCTGCTTTAAGAAGCATTAAAAAAGCCATCCCAAACGAAACCTCAAACTTTAAATTAGCATTCAAGATTAAAATGTAGAAAACGGCGGAGAAGCAGATATACACATGAACAAAACTGCAGAAAGATACAGCGCATAGTATAGTATTACTCATTGGCAATATTTCTTTTAAATAAATGAGACAATAAGCAAAGGGGCATACTGGCAACCAGCAACGATAAGCACCCTCAATTTTGGACCAGAAATAGGAATCAGATGCTTTAAAAATTTATCAGTAACTGTTTCCATATGAGCTACAGATAAAACATCCAAACACTTGAGCTTCTTCAACGCAGGCAAAATCAACATTGCATCCACATTGTGGCAAACATCTATATAAAGTTCTTGCAAAACTGCTTCCAACTTTTCAGCTAACGCAAGGATTCCCTTAGATGTTATAAGGGGACATTGACTCAAATTTAAAGACGTTAAGAGAGGAGCTGAAGCAGCAATTGCATCTAAGCCACCATCTGATAGACAGTATGCTCCCTTTAAAGACAGTCTATTAAGCGAAGGCAAACACTTTGGAGCCTTTGCGAATGTAGAATGCAATACATAATCAGGCAAGCAACGACCACAGAAGTCCAGCTGCAACACCTACTTAAACAGGGCAAAAAAGAAAAGTAAGGCCTATATATCTATTAGATACGGGAATCAGAAAAAACATGCTAGTACTACAGGCTCAGTAATAGTCTTCACAAAATGATAAGCATTAATTTTCTTTTCATTTCTCAACAATGATAATCATCTGGCATCACATAATTTGGTTAAAGATGCCCAGACATATACCTTAATTACAATTGAGTATATTTGGACATGCAAATGAAAGAAAAAAACATGAGAGCATATTAAAAAAGTAAACTACTAGAACAAATATAGCACAAAAGCGTACACTGTCGAGAGAACAAAATACCTTCAAATTATCAATATTGCATTGAGAAAAAACTTCCACAAACAACTTATCTGTCGCCCATGAACAATCGCTCAAGTAAATCTCTAAGGGGGAACCCTTGGTAAGAAGACCAAGGAAATGAGAAGACATCCTCCTCGAATTGCATAGCATCAATGCAATGTTATGCTTGATAGCATCAGGCAGACCTTCAAGTGATTCAATCTCTTCTGCATTCTCACAGAGAACTTTCAAGCATAAGTCCTTCAATGGGGGAACTATTTTTCCCACGGTGATATGCCTCCGCATATTGGAAGGCGTCCAAGGAATTTTGGCTTCCGCTTCTCCATCTTTCACTGAAGAAAAGTTTAAGTTACGTGCTCTTAGCATTTGTTCTCGCTCTTCAATGATCTTCATGGCAGTAGAGAAAGGCCCTGGCCAATCTTCTTCTTCATTTGCATGAGGCATTGAATCATCAGCTTCATCGTCTTCTTCAGTTCTTTCTTCCTCTGCTTTAAAGAACGCAAATACAGAAGCAAACTCTATAGCAGTTTTTCTGGCAGCCTCTCGCCTAGACCTGGACTTTTCTTGGCTACTTCCAGTCTTCTGATTCCCCAGCCCACCAACAATGGTGAATTCTACTTCTTTAGCAGAAACTTGTTCTCCATCAGCAACCTTAAGTTTTTTGGGAGCTAACTTCTCCTTCCCTTTCTCTTCCCTGCTATATCTCCTGGGCCTCCTCTGACATGTCCCCCCATCCAAAACTGGCAAATTTTCATGGAGAAATTCAGGAATTGGATCAGCATTCAAATCAACGTTAGACATAATAATTGGCATCGGATCTTCCAAAATCAATTTGCCCATCCTTGCATCTTCTCTGCTACAAAATCTAATTCCACTACTCTCATAATTCCTTACTCCAACATCATCAATTCCATTAGCACCCAAAAAAATCCCAGCCAAACCCAAGTCCAATTGATCCGCCTCAACAATTAATCCATCATTCATCCTATTTCCCTCACTACATCTTACTCCATCAGCACCCTCTGAAGCTATTCCCCCAGCACTGCTAAACATTTTATCACCAGATTTCTCAATGCATTCACACTGAGAAGAAAACCCCTGCATTCTTTTTACTTCTCTACAGGAAAAACTATCAACATGCTCACTAACCAAAATGGAAGAAACAAACCCATCTCCTATCTTTCTCTTAGGAACTCTTGACCCCGATCGCAAGTTCATATAGCCAACTTCCTTCGGCGCTGCGTCATAAGCATTTCCCTTCTTCTCTCCCAACTCCAAATTCCGATCGACATAACGAGCTGTCCCCTCTGCATGCATGGTCGATGATTCAATAGCTTTGAAACCATTATCAACCATGCCTCTCATTAACTCCACTTTTTCCTCCACCCCCTCATCTAACCCGCCTTCTTTGAAACTCCCTGCCATATCCTCTAGTTTCTCGACAAAATCGGAACCTTTACTGAACCCTCGTTGGGAAACCCGCGAACTAGACCGTAACTTCAAGTACCGCTCCTCCCTCACATCAGAAGAACAACCAGCAACGGAAACCCTTTTTGAGCGCTTCCTCTCGGGGCAGCCTTCATCAGCCGCAACGCTGACCGGCGAAAAGACGCTGTTAGCCAAGCTCAAACTACTTGGGCATCGGAAGTTGGCCACCGAGGCGGTAGCAGCGGCCGCAGAAGAATTTAGAGACGAATCATTCTCAGACGGAGTGAAAGTCTCCGGTGTAGAAATTAGGGTTTTCGGCTGGGGCGCCGGTAGAGATCGGCCGGACCTTAAGACGCGCATTGCTATAAATCCTATGCTATGCAGACCGCCGACAGAGCAACTATAAATAGAAGACACTCAAGCGACGGAGGCTTCTATCGCACGGCATTGCTTCCCGCGCAAATGAGGGCTTATTGCGGTGAAGCGTCTCGCGGGAAAGCAGCCGTTCGTCACTAACTAATAATATCTTTTAACATTAGCTAACGCAATCTAAATCAGGAATTAGTTAATTATTCTGTAACAAAGTAGCTTCTTATTTTGTTTCTAATTGGACGATTAATAATAACAGCGAGATAAAGAGATACAGTAAAGTGGTAGTGTAAATAACAAATAAATACATCATTTTTCTAACTTATCTGACTGTAGATCAATTATTTTTTTATGTGACAAGCGTTGAATATTTATTCACTGCATTTACTCACAAAAGGCTGTGGTGGACGAACTTTTTATTTGGTCCGGTGAACGTACGTAGAGCTACGTTCGGACGGCATTAAAATCGCAGTCACAAAACGAGAAATATTGAGCAAATACCGAGTAATACCAACAATAACGAGAAATATCATTATGTGAAGACCAAATACCGAGTAATACCGAGCAATACCAAGCAATACCGAGTAATCCCGAGCAATACCAAGCAATACCAAGTAATCCCAAAAAATACCGATTTTTTTGGGATTACTCGGTATTGCTTGGTATTACTCGGTATTGGCCTTCACAGAGCGGTATTCCTCGCTATTATCAAACAATACCTAGCAATATCGACCAAATACCTAGCAAAAACCGAGTAACAATCCTCTGACTGAACGTAGAGCTACGTCCAGTCAGAGGACGTAATAAAAGCTCGTGGTGGACATTTAGTAGTTACTTACTAACCCATTACAATTATAAGGGTCGTTTGGAATAGCTTTTAATTACTATTTTTTTAGTACTAAATTTTTTTGTGCTAAAAATTTGTTCTAATCAAAGCCACAATCAACAAATTAATGTCTGATTAATAAGAGCTATGAGACAAATATTTTAAATATTTGAAAAAACTTATGTGAGCATGTCTTGGAGACTTGGACTTAAAGAATTTAATTTTTTTAATTTTATTTTTGAATGAGTATAATATAAAAATTAAATAATTATAAACCAACAAAAAAAATCTTTATACTACTATGTGGGGTCAGCTACATAAAACTTTTTTTTATTTTATTATGTCTTATTAAGAATCAAATTTTCATTTAAATCTAATAAAGAATGTCATTTCTAATATTTTATAACTAAATCTTTTTAGATCTATCTCTTTTTTTTTTTAATATAGGCCAAATCTAATACAACTACTCTCCTAAAAAGGTCACCGTTTTACATGACCAAATCATCTAAGGCAACTCTCTCTAATCTTATGTGCCGGAGCTACTCCAATCTTTTCATGAATATGTCTCTCTTCTCAATAATATTTAACTTAATATTATGTTTCTATTTTAATGATCAATATTCTGCATCAAAAAGCAAGGGAGTTTCAAAATGAATATGAAAATATTGAAAACATCGTAATTATTTTTGACAAAATATTTAAATTTATTTTTTCTTCAAGTATGTATGCCAATAAGCGGCATATTTTTTTATAAGGAAATTATTAACGGGATGAAAAAAAATATTCTCGTAAACACTCTAAAACTATAAACAACAGTCAATTCCTTGGCTTATATATCGATGTCAGTCAGATAATATAATTAATCAACTCATAACATATCATCGGAGAAGAAATTATTAGATGCGGAGTCTCGACGTGGTGATATGTCCGGACATCCACTTAATAGTACACGTGGAGTGTGCTTTGATTGCACTTTTTTTAGCTTTACTGTGTTTTATCTGCACTTTAGTTACAATTTGGTTGCATTTTCACTGTTTTTTATTGTATTTTTTTATTGCGCTTTAACTATGCTTTACATGCGCTCACCTGTACTTTACGTGCACTTTGGTTGTGCTTTTGATGCGCTTGGATTAAAATTCCACAGATACATTAAATATATAAAATAAAAAATAAATCCAATTGAATATCCATGTGTCCACTCTACATGTCAACATTTTATTGAAGTACAGGCGTATCCCTACGTCCAGACTCATTACCTAATAATTTCTTTGATTAGAGAGGATAATGTCATAATTAAATAAAATAGCATCAATTTATATTTTTTAAATTTAGAATTAAATTGTTCTTCCTACTTTTGCTATTATCAAGAAATTATTACATGCAACTACTGGACCATCTGAAGACGAACCAGGATGTGTCACGCACCTCGCATACAAAATCAATACACAACAAAATAGTGATGTAACACATCCTAATTTGCCCCTGATCGACCTCGAGTGATCACACGTATTAATTTCTCGCTACTATATGCAATATTTTATAATAGTTATTGTAAAATTATAGTAAGCTAAATAATTTTTTAAAATTATTAAAACTATTATAAATGCTTTTATTGAATAAATACTTTCTTAAAGTAATTGCAAATGAATAATTCTGATTGTAAGAAAAGAATTTTTTTATCATTGAAATTTCTTTAAAAATCAACAAAAAAAAATAGTAAGAAAGTAAGCAAAACATTGTAATCAATATGCTAGAAAAATAACTCTACAAATTTTAGTATTTAATATATAAAAATATTAAATATAAAATAATTAATATTTACCAGCAACATAACATTACAAAGCAGCCCTTTATGCAATTCACAATGACTACAAATACTTCCTCACAATAGCAGCAAACAGCTTATAATTCAAGCTGGGCTTAGCATACCAAAATCTGGAACAAATTGAAGAACAAACAGAAAACAACTGTAATTGTTCACCCAAATAAATTGAAAGAATGAAAAAGAATAGGTTCCACAAACACATCACATAATTCTCTTATAATTACATATTTAACATTTAAATCTTTGTAATATCTGAAAAAAAAAATTCATTTAAGAAATTGAAATAAATACGAAGATTTAAGTGATAGATATAAAAATATAAAAGAATTCTGTGGTATGAATGTAAATCCCTCAAAATAATAATAATACCAGAAATCCAATCAAAGAACATAAAGCACTCCAAAGAAAACCACAGCAAGCAATGGCCAGATCCCACAGCCACTGATCGCTAGCCTGGTTGAAGCACTACAATCATCATTGTTCCCGCTGAAGCAACCAGGATGAACTGACTTTGCCTGCCCATTCTCAAAGGCAAAACTACTGTTCCTCTTGCCATTGCTAAACAGAACACACCAAAAGTATGGTGACCCGCCATCAGTGCCACTTACAGCTGCACCGACCTCTGTGTGGTTTTTATCATGAAGGATCTTAAGACTCTCTGAATTCTGGATGATGAAACTGGAGAAGGCTTCATCGGGAGAAACATATTTGGATTGGCAACCAAGAAAGCGACCAGTGATGGGAGTAAGAGTCTGGGCTAGGACACCACAGTTGGGAGCAAATTTGTCTGCAAAGTCAGAATCTGGGGGCTTTTTCATGTCACCAACTTCACTACATTGGCCTTCATAGCCTTTTATGTACTGCAGAGCAATGCAGCCAAGCCCAGGGTTGTCGAAGAGTGCGGTGAACTTGCCGGCGGTTCGGTTTGCATTGATCACAGCCACCAGTTTGTCAGCCGGGTTATCTTAATTAAGATGGAAAAGGAGAAATGGAGTTAGATTTGTAGCTAATAAGCAAGTATGCTGCTTTGTTTGAAATGAATGATTGAGGCTTCGTTTGGAATGGCTTTCTAGTTGCTTCTTAAAGCAACTTCCAAATGACTTTCTAGTTGCTTCTTAAAGCAACTAAAAAGTTGCTTTAAAAAGCAACTAGAAAGCCGTCCGAAACGGAGCCTGAATGCAGGCCTAAACTTCTGCATGGATGCTTTCAATGGTTTGACCCATAAAGCACAAAATGTAGGTGTAGCATTAACACAACAAAAATTTATGCGATTGTGAATAATGAATAGGTGTAGCATCAATTAAATAGTTTTGCAGATATATTTCAATTAAGGCGCTTTCTTAAAATTAAGGATCTAATAAATAGAATAATTAGAAGCATTAATAACTTCTGTTAATTTCATTCTTTTAACATAAGTGGTCTGCTCATCAGTTGCATCAAAGAATACCCTCTAAAGAATGGTGGCTTCCGCCTTACTAAAATATGTTGATTTTGTTGTGTTACTGGCCTGGTGGCCTTGCAGATCAATGCTAGCATTTGGAGCAAACAGCAAAATCATACTATTTCAATCTGAGTTGTGTGAAATAATTAAATTGTTTAAGTAAAAAATGCCCCATAAATTCATGAAAAAAATATGATTACTTGGAAGATTGATTACTAATAGGAATTAAATTATATACATATAAATATTAGTTGGAATTCAATGAATAAATAAGATAATATTTGACATTAGCAGAGTATTTGCAGCATCTCCAATGATGGGTAATTTTGTTTATCTCAATATTGATGGTTCCAGATGTCTCCTGGCTTGATCTTTGTCAAGGATATCGGCTCATCGAGGCAACCAAGTGGCAAATTGGATGTGGTAGTTAAGAATGAGCACAAGCAGCAATTTGTGTGGTGGGTGAAAGGGTGGAGAGAATGGGTATGGTGATTTTGTGTGGGATTTATATGGAATGAGGTGTTTGTAGGTTTTGTGCATTTCTGAAACTTGGGAAGGTCTTTTTTGTAGCTCTGGGGGGAGTTGAGTTCATAATTTTCAAAGGAAAAAAATCTCAAAACAATCTCAAAGATTGTATAACTAAATTAGCATGATTACTAGAAAAATTTTAATTAAAAAACATTATAAATAACGTGCACCCCATTTTAAGCTATTGCATCCACCATATTGCACCAAACATGAGGAAATATAATGGTTTTTCCAATTGATCTTAATCATAATCATATTTCATGTTATGTGTGGAATTTGATTGTGTTGATCAATCTGATTATTTTATTGTCTTGGACTTCAAAGCTTCCCTCGAATTTTTTCCGTACAAGGCCCCAGCGCTGCATATACGAGCGCACCAGCGCTGTCTTCCCGAGCACCCCAACGCTGAAAAATAAATAGCAGAGCACTATAGCGGTCTAGATATGGCGTCGCAGCGGGTCAAGACAAAGACTAAGCATCGTAGCGTTGAGTGTTTGAGCGCTGCAGCATAGGGGCGCATAGAGACCGGGCGCCGCATCGCTCCAAACTGGCACCGCAACACTGCGAAACAGACTGAACAGTTATTTTTCTTGTTTTTCTCAAGGGTTGCCCCATGGTTATAACTTACTTTCTCTTGTATTTTATGAGGAATGTAGACATTGAGAATGATGCATGTGAGAAGAGAAGCAATGATAGTGAGAAAGATGAGAGATCTGTACTAATTTCTCCCCATTTTCATAGTGGATTTCTTGGTATGTTGTGGCTCCATGGTTTTTTCCCTATTTTGGGGTTTTTCATGTTACATCTGGGCGCCCTTTATTTTTCGGGTGCTTTTACTTTCTTGCTTGTTTCGTCATTATGGTGTTTACTCCTCAATCTCCATCATCTTTCCCAACATTACGTTCTCTAAGGATCTAATTTTTTTATTCAAATTTTCACTAATCTATCTTCACAGGTTATATCTAGTTGGAATTCTAAGGGTTCACATTGAAAGATAAATTCAGGTCTGTTGCATTCTTCTTCAATCATACTAAATAAAATCATCGTGCACCTTGGCTTATTCTTGGGGTCGGTTAAGTTCAAAAAATGACCATCTGATCTAGCTAATAACCTTAATTAGCCCAACATATCTTGCAGAAATGCTAAACTCCTTTTGGTAAGCGATACATAATCTCCAGCATTTTTCTACATCTCTCCTACCATCATCTGCATAAGCTTTCTGGCGTTGTGGTTTGCATTAGTATTTTGCTCAACCATTTTGATATTTTGACTAATTTATTTCATGAGTTATGACCCAAGTTTTTTTTTCTCTCTAAAATTAAACTAACATAAAGGTGAATTACACGTTTTCCCATAAAGAGCTTCATAAGAGGACATCTGTATATCAAGTGATAACCATTGTTATAAGAGAACTCGAACAGAGTTAAGTGGTTGTCCCAATTCCCTTTGAAATCAATAAGACAAACCCCAAGCATGTGCTCCAATTTTGACGAGCTTATACTCGAATCGAACGGCTCGACGAGATGAATCCAACGAGTCCAAGATCGCCGAATTCCGACATCATTAAGGCCTTCAAATGTCCAACAAACGGTGCATGATCGTAAGATTCAATATCGGCCGTCCATTTGACCACTCCCCATTCGCCCCTGATCTCACGCCTATTTACGGGCCATGCCACTCCAGAAAATCTATAAATAGAGCCCTCATTTCTCATGAGAGGGGGACTAAAGCAAGAAGAGAAGGAAGAGGAGAAGGAGGAAGCTCCTCCTCGACGGCCGCCGGACCACCGCCGGACCACCGCAGAAGCACCGCCGGACCTCCGCCGGACCGCTGCAGGAACCTCGCCGGACCACCACCGAAGCCTCGCCGGACCACCGCCGGAGTTTCATTGCACCACTGCCTTAAGTTCTGACGTTCAGTCCCGACGTCCTGCTGAAGACCTGACGTCCTGCTTAAGACCCGACGTCCTACTCAAGGCCAGACCATCAACATCCGATCTTCCAAGTGACACTTGGACTAACACCTTACTCCTTGTCTCCTACCGCCTACGGTCCCTCTGACCTCTGTCGCCTACTACGGTCCATCCGACCTCCATCACCAGACAACGGTCTTTCAGACCCTAGTCTCCTACCGCCTACGGTCCTTCAGGCCTTCATCACCTACTACAGTTTGTTTGACCTACATCACCAGACAACGGTCTTTCAGACCCCAGCTTTCTATCGACTACAGTCCTTTAGGCCTTCGTCGCCTACTATGGTCCTTCTGACCTCCATCAACAGACAACGGTCTTTCTGACCCCGGTCTCCTGCCAACTACGATCTTTCAGGCCAAACAAACCTGTATATGTAACTCCTACCATGTAATGTAATCTATATGATGTACATTTGCTACATCAATCCAAGGCCTTCTCCCAAGGAAGGGCCTCATTTGTAATCGACTACAAATACTAGTGGATTCATTCAAACTGGGCCAGGCCCCGTGGTTTTTCCCCCTTTTCAGGGGTTTTCCACGTAAAAACTCTGGTGTCTCTTATGAATGCTACACCCTCTCACTTATCTGCTTGTGTGCTGGATCTTCGTACAATGCTAAGACGTTAAACTAAATATTTCTCTACCGCCGTGAATATTCCAGGACGCAACAAAGAGCTATGAGACATATTTTAAATATTTGAAAAAACTTATGTGAGCATGTCTTGGAGACTTGGACTTAAAGAATTTATTTTTTTTAATTTTATTTTAGAATGAGTAGAATATAAAAATTAAATAATTATACACCAACAAAAAATCTTTATACCACTATGTGGGGTCAGCTACATAAAACTTTTTTATTTTATTATGTCTTATTAAGAATCAAATTATCATTTAAATCTAATAAAGAATGTCATTTCTAATATTTTATAACTAAATCTTTTTAAATATATCTCTTTTTTTTTAAAACAGGTCAAATTTAATACATCTACTCTCCTAACAGGGTCATTAGAAGGTCGACGTTTTATATGACCAAATCATCTAAGGCAACTCTCTCTAATCTTATCTGTCACTGGAGCTACTCCAACCTTTTTATGAATATGTCTCTCTTCTCAACAATATTTAACTTAATATTATGTTTCTCTTTTAATGATCAATATTCTGCATCAAAAAGCAAGGGAGTTTCAAAATGAATATGAAAATATTGAAAACATCGTAATTATTTTTGACAAAATATTTAAATTTATTTTTTCTTCAAGTATGTATGCCAATAAGCGGAATATTTTTTTATAAGGAAATTATTAACGGGATGAAAAAAAATATTCTCGTAAACACTCTAAAACTATAAACAACAGTCAATTCCTTGGCTTATATATCGATGTCAGTCAGATAATATAATTAATCAACTCATAACATATCATCGGAGAAGAAATTATTAGATGCGGAGTCTCGACGTGGTGATATGTCCGGACATCCACTTAATAGTACACGTGGAGTGTGCTTTGATTGCACTTTTTTTAGCTTTACTGTGTTTTATCTGCACTTTAGTTACAATTTGGTTGCATTTTCACTGCTTTTATTGTGTTTTTTCACTGCGCTTTAACTATGCTTTGTTAGACTACTGCAGGACCATCTTACCGCATCCACTCATTACAGCAAAAGGATGTAAAAGTTCCTGCTCTGCCACAAAACCAGGCCATCAATTCCACTGCTACAGCAACCGATTTCTGACCATCTTGTCTAAGCTTCTTTTATATATTTACCTTTGTTGTATGCGATAGTTTGAAAGGAAAGGAAATATGTTAAGCTCATTTTCTCCTCAGTTTTCCTTCGTCTAACTCCTACTGCAGGTACTTCACTTCATGGTATCAGAGCTTCTCCTGGTATCGATTTCTTTCGTCTAAGCTATGACGGATCAAACTTCCGGTTCATCTACAGAAGGTGCTCCGCCCGTCGCTACTCAATCTGCTGCAATGACGCTGAACTTTTGCCATGTCCCTCCTTCCTTGAAGTTTTTGATGAATAATC